TGGCATCAGTTATATATGTAATCAGAACTTATATAGTTTGTAAAAGATTTGTAATAATTTACTTTGTTGCATACAATTAAATACTATGCACTCATAATCTGATTCTGTATCTGACTCCCTTATGCCTTAATTAGCATTTGGGATGTTACATAATTTTAGTCAATGAACTCAACCACGTGGTTCATTCAAACTAAATTATATATCCCCTTAGTTGTCACTAATTTACCACTAATATCAAGATAACCCAAACAATTACAGATACAGGAGTTTTCGAATGGTAATATGCTATCATGTTACGTGTACAACAGGCCCTATTGAACAAATAACAAATAATAATGTAGTATGCACAATAAGATATATAAATACTAAAAGTAAATAAAAATGAAAGTACAACAATTCGATCTCACAATCCCAAAGCTTAAACCTAAATTAAATCTCTAACTGGAAATTGTAATGTTTAGCTGCTCATGTTTTGCTTGATATACCAGAAAAGTGTTTTAAAATCAACTGAAGAAACTACAGAAAGGGTGACTGAAGAAGACCAAAATTGCTGCTAGTTTTTCTGCCCACCACTCTTCTCTTTTTCGCTTCTTATTTAAAGGTTGAGAAGATCAAGGTTTCCTCTTGTAGAGATAGGGTTTTCCTTGATAATTCTAGCCTCCCTTCCTACTTTTCAAAATCGCCTATGCTTGATTCAGTTTCCCACTTCAAATTAAAAATAACATATTTTTTTAAATTTGAAGTTACACTAAAGGACCAATATATATCATTGCTGCTAGGGTGCAAGCCTTTCCCAAAACTTGCCTATGGTTGAACTGATATCAATTACCACCGCTAAGGTACAAGCCTTGGCCCAGGGTTATTTATGTATGAACAGATGTTTCATGTTGCCACTAAAATGCAAGCTTTGCCTGAGGCTTGGTTGTACGCGAACTAATATCTGCTACTCCCACTAAGGTGTAAGCCTTACCTGAGGCTTACACCTGAACTGACGACTGCTTTTGCATAAAATATGCTCTCCAGTATTGCTTTTCAAAATTTGAGTCTCATCTCTCAACTTGCATCGAAGTAAGCAGAATCACATAGTTTACGTGATATGCAAATCAATTATGAACTTAAAATAGGTGATAAAGATGTTATTTATGTGCACTATCACCTGGATACAACAAAGAAGCTAAAAAGAAGTAGAAAGAATTAGGTTGATACTAGGGTCTAGTAGAGCACATTCTCATGTGAAGTTTAGCTAGCGTCTCAATTCCAAGACCCATCTTTTTACCTTACTATCACTTGTATCTTTGCCACTTACAACTTTAAACTTCACCTGTTGGGAATGGAATCTCTTTAAATCAAGTCCTGCAAATTAGAAATATTTTGCAAAAAAATCCTAACAAGCTCTAGACACTCAACGCATGTATGAGTGAATAAATGTGCAATGCAGACTCAACAATAAAGAAAATTTAAATATGGAACAATAGTTTTTATGCATTTTGAAAAGATGGTTAATCTTCATTGCTTGTGCACATGCAAAACAAAAGTTTTCGTGTACACCTAGTGGGTGATGTAATCTTCTTTCGACGAATTGAAAGTTTTCATCACACAGAAGAGCAGTTAATCTTCTTTTGTTTATAATGCAATAAATGACTAAAGTTGTATTATGGGGTGCAACTGGTTTTCTTGGATTTTGTAAATTTCTGAATTTTTTTACTCAATAATATGAACGTACTACAACTTGAATCAATGAACAAGATAGGTTCAAGTGGGATGCAACAAAGAGATGAAATGAATTAGCAACGAGGTGTTTTTGTTGCTAATTATGCAAAATGATATGCAAAGTAGGGTAAAATAGTAGGTTCAAAGTAGGTGCCTAACCTTTGATACCAAATGATAGGGGGTGGAGGGCCTTTAATCCACAGATCAAAAATACCTCGATCATGAACCCATTATATTTAGCAATTAAAAACTTAGTTATCTAAAATAAACTCTCCCTATTGGAACCACAGTCGACTAAGTGAAAACTTACCGAAGTAACTGGGAAATAAAAAGGAAAAAGAAGAATGCCATGACTTACCTGGTAAGTCGATCTCGATTCCCTACTTAACAAAGTAGTCTGAAGTTCTTAGCTTAAAGACACTTGAAGAACTTAAAAATTAGCATAGCTAATTTAAAGCACAAGCTTTTATTGATATTCAAATTAGATTGTGAATTATAACCTATGATGAGGCCTTTACATTGGCGTTCACCCAACTAGTTTTAAACAATCACAAGCTCTTGAAAAATAATAAAAAAACTCTATCCCAATCTCCATCCTAAAAATATTTATCAAATAATCTTAAGGGATATATTTACAATAAAATAATAATAAATAAAATATTAAAATAAGTGTAGATTTTATCCTATGTGATTTTTGAATAAAACACATGAAAAATATGAAGAAAAAGAGTCCAAAATTCGGCTATTAGTTGCACTTTCACACCACGCATACAGTATATGCAGGCTGGCATGCCCCCAGACATGACAGGCAGCGGGTGTGTGAGCACGAGTGTGCACGACCCATCCCTGTACGCTTGCTCTTGCATGCGCTATGCGCATGCTTGTCTCCTGCGTGCACACGACGTGCCTAATTGAGTGTTTGCCCTATGTGTGCGTCCGTGGGGTTCCTCGTATGTGCACGTGTTGTCTAGGCGTGTGGCTTGCTCCTATGAGTGGATGATGGGGTATTCGCATGTGTAGGCCTCTTGCGCATGTGCAGCTTGACGCCTCGCACAACCAACATGTGGGGAAAGGGCTTTTGCACGCCTTGGAAGTGCTTATACCTTCCTATTTCCATGGACTAGCCGGTGTACACATACCCCATAGGTACCCATATCTGCATGAGGTGTGGAAGTTCCTCTTGTATTGGTATTCTTGGGATGATGGGTGTCGAATCCAGCAAAAATATATCATATTCTGTCAATAACTTAAATTTGCAGTAGTAGTAAATAGGGTTGAATCCACAAGAAATTAAGAACCAATATCTCTTATGACTGGAGATAAAAGTAAAAGTTGTGGGTTTTCATTTTGGATTAAAGCAATTAAAATAAATCAGCAAATTTTAAAGTAATTAAAATAGAAAGTAATAAAACAAAGAGAGAAGTAGAAAAATAGTTATAAGTGAGTTCCAATTAAATAAGTAATATCAGTTTAAATTTGCAGGATTGATCATTGATGCAAAGATAATTCCTACTAACTTTCAATAAACCAGCTCTAGTTGTTGGAGATGCTCCTAACAACCAAACTTTCCTTAATCCTATATTAACCAAGAGGTGCTCATTAACCAACCCTTGCAAATAAATAACCCTAGAGACGTTCCTAGAGTTTAGTTTACTAAGAGCATTGAGATTAAGAAAGACCTAATTCTAATCAACGAACTCAACCATGTGGTTAATTTAAATTAGATTGTACATCCTTTTAGTGGGACATTAATTTATCACTAGCATCAAGACAACTTGAACAATTACGAGTTGAGGAATCCTGAATGGCAATATGTTATCATGTTATATGCATAACGGGCCCTGTTAACAAATAATAATGTTTGTATGTGCATCAAGATATATAAACATTGAAGTTAAATAAGAATAAATGTAAGACAATTTGATCTCACAATCTTGAAGCTGTAACTTTAATTAAATCTCTAAGTAAAATTATAACACTTAATTGCTCATATTGAGCTTAATACACTAGCAAATTTTTTTGGGATCAACTAAAGAAATTATATAAAGAATAATTAAGACGACAAAGTGTGCTTGCTATTTTTTGTCTGTTGCTCTTCTATGTTTTGCTTCTTATTTAATAGTGGAGGTGGATCACAGTTTCCTCTTATGGAGGTAGGATTTCTTAATGATTTCGACCTCGTTTTCGACTTTTCCAAATCACCCTTGCTTGATTCAGTTTTCATTTTGAGGAAAAAACAGTAATTTCATTGAATATGAAGGAATATCGAAACATCAATATCTGTTAGTGTCACTACGGTGCAAGCCTTGCTAAGGCTTGGGCACGTATGATGACTCTGTATGCTAAATTAGTTTTATTGCACTTTTTTTCGAATATTGAGTCCTATCTTCCCACCTTCATCAACAATTAGCAAAATCCTTTATATTAGTTAGTAAATTACTCAAATGTGCACTCAATCTAAGCAGTAAAAATGACATTTATACACACTATTAAACCCCCCCACACTTATCTTGTGCTTTTCCTCAAGGAACTCATAATACAAACCACTAACCCTCATCTCTTCACCTTTAAGCTATATATTCCCAACCATTCCCTAACAACTTGTTTGTTACATCTCAATCCCCATATTATAAAAATAACCATCAATTAGTAGTTTGTTGGTTTGAGTTTCATGGAACCACACTAATGAATAACCACTTTGACTAATATCCAAACACAAAATGGAAAGCTCTTGTAATTTTTGAACATATTTATTGTTCATTGAGAGGAGTGGCCAACACATAGTAAAAATAGCCACCAATCTGTCTAGATATAAGGATTTCATGCAATTAGTTTATGCTAAAATAGAAAATTTGGTTACACTTAGCCTTAGCACCTTTATTGCTTACTTGAATTATCACAAACCTTTTAACGCGATGGCAAACATTTGTGATGAATAATGCACTTGGTTACTTAGCTAGTCACAAATTTAAGTGGCTACTAGCACTACTTATAGTCAATTGACTAGAGAACTAGATTATTATTTGTGCTCTTTCTCTTTTTTTTTTCCACATTCTAGTCATAAACCTTAAGATTATTAGACACACAAATCCAAACAAATTGTAATAGAGTTTTTTTAATTATTGGCATTCACTCAATTTTTAATGGTAATCCCAAAACAAGTCATGTTTAAAATATAATATGTCCCTGCCCCACACTTAAACTACACATAATCCCCAATGTGATGCAAATAATGAGTACCAAAATAAAAGAAAAATAAAGGGACATATTAACTCCCCTGGTTACTTGACCTGGAGGTAGGGCGCAGTAGGAAGCATCATCTGGTCTTAGGGCAAGGGCCGACCTTCAAAGCTTGAGCTTCTGATTGGGCTAGCTCCTCAACTTTATGCAGCTTAGTGGCCATTTGGAGGCTCAAGGTCTCGATGTGAGTCATGCAGGCATCCATATTCTGTGTTACAGTAGAATCACTTACAAGGTGAGGGATTATTGTGCGATGGAGGCTGAAACAGAATCTGTGTTCGCAGCAGGTTCTATGGTGGCCATAGGTGGCACACCCTTCTAGCGCTTGCTGTACACCCGCATATTCCTGGGGACAATGGAACCTGGAAGTTGAGGTGATTGTGGAGCTCAAATTCGGCAAGTGGGAGAATATGCTTACCATTTTTAACTCGTGCCCTCTTTCGGTCTTGTGTGGCCTCTTTGTCTCTGCTCGTAGGTTCTTTGGCTATGGGCTGTTGTGTTTTTGGTTTTTCGCTTGGTAACTTATTCCACGATTCTATACATTTTATTCTCGGGGTGGAGAATTAGGCACATCGATTACAGGGTTGTGGTGTCGGTAGGCCATCGTAGAGTTGCTCGCACCATGAGGTGAAGCTTGTTCCTCTCGTGTGACTTGGGGTTTAGTTTTTTTCAGAGGCGACTGTGTCTGTTTTTTTGCCTCAACAGTGGTTCACGATCATTTGGTTTTGAATTGGCGATACTTGGGGTTTTAAAAACTTCCTTCATTCTCATTTAGCCTAGTTGTCGAAGGTTTGGGATAGAGGGGCTTAGTTTCGAGTGGAAGTTGCAAATAGGAAGATGGAGGTTTGAACAGGGTGTGGGAATTGTGAAGTAGGAGGTTCAGGTTAGAGCAAAGAAAAAGGGCTTTTGTTTTGATAGAAGGGGAAAATTGGGTATTGAGTCAAATAAAAAAATTTTAGGGCAAAATAAAAGGAAATGACCGCTAAATGACCAAACATCCTCAAATTAAATTGCAGATATGGCCATGGCATAAGCCTTAGGCAAGGGTTAAGAAGAGCATCTTCCCACAAGGATTATATATCAAGTTACAACATTTTAGAAAATCTTATTATTATCTAGAAATCGAAATTATAATTATGAAAGAAGAAATTAAAATGACATAATCAAAGTAAAATAAAAAATTTAGGAAAACTGTCAATATAAATGCCCAGAGTAATTGATTTCACCTGAATCTTGGGCATACTTGAGTTTTAATTTCGTAATCAATTTAATCTAGTTTACAATGATTGAAATATCTTAAAGTACTTTCAATTTTCCTCCCGGTATTCCTAGATCTATAAATTAACAACTACCAACATTTTATAGCAATTATTAATTTGATTCAATTAAATATTTGATAATTTAATTTATCTATGTTAATTCGACTATATTACACTCGTTCAACTCACAACTAACATTTAACAATATAGGTCTAATTAATGAAATTTTACTCCTATTACTCTAAAACCATTAATCACAAATAAAGTTTTGAGTTGGCTAATTCTCACAATCGAATTAAGTTCAATACTATTAAACTGTAACTAGAAGAAAGCTAGAAGCCAAACCTCAAGCGTACCTTTGATTTAGGTTACATTAATCACTCCCATGAATAAAATTTAGCCACATATAGTGGATTGAGAAATAATAATTATAATTGAGAAAGAGAGAAGCATGTAATAATTAAGAATAAATATATGAAAAATTCCAAACACTAGCACTTGGGTTTTATTAACAAATCCCTAAAATTTCTACCCAAAAATGCGCAAATCAAAAGCTAAATAAATATATTACTTGGTTACTTTTCTCAAATCCTCTCCCCAAAAACTTTCTCCTTTCTCACTCGTCCTACTCTCCAATAAGCTCACTCTGCTTCTGCCTTCCACCAAATCACTTCTAGTTTTTTGCTCAATTCATGCTTAGCTTCTGTATTCTGCTACTCGCTCCACCAGATCACTTTTAAGCCTTCACCAAGCTCGTCGTCTCTCTGTCTTCTGCTCACATTTGAGCTCTCCACTAGTCTATCTTATTCTCTCTATCAGATCTACTCTCGTCTATGTTCGTTCTTCATTTCCCTCCAGATCTGATCACGTTCCATCTCTCCTCTAGATCTAGTTGCGCTCACTATGCTCTCTCCTCATGTCATATCTCTGGTTCCCATTTATAGGTAGAGGTAGGCAGAATCCCACACTCCTCTTCTTTCTTATCTCCTTCTTCCACATACATGATATCGTTTTGAGCTTCTCATGTCTCTAGTGCCTAACTTTAAATGGCATTGTTTCGAAGCAGACATGCTGTATTTAGCTGCCAGTCTGGGTGAGACTTCACAGGTCTGTTGGGCTTCTTCCTCTTTTCTTCTTCCATCTTTAGCCTCTTTTCTTCACCTAAGAAACCTAAATCAAGAATTTTGTTCATGAATTGATTTTTAACTCAAAATTTATTCAAAATTCTTAGAAACTTAATTAACAAGGGTATCAAAATAAAAATAAAGATAAAACACATAAATCATTATTGAGATTTCGTCTAAAGGAGCATAAATAAAAAAAGAAAGCAAAGTTAAAGATCCTAAAAAAAATTTGAAACATAAAAGAACATACCAGACTAGAGTAGGACTAAATTTATAAATTCTTGGACCAAAGAGCATAT